GACTCAGGGTGTGGGTGTGGGTGTGGGTGTGGGTGTGGGTGAGGGTGTGGGTGAGGGTGAGGGTGTGGGTGTGGGTGAGGGTGTGGGTGAAGGTGTGGGTGAGGGTGTGGGTGTGTGGGTGAGGGTGCGGATGTGGGGTGGGGTGTGGGTGTGGGTGGGTGTGGGTGGGGTGGGATGGGGTGAGTGTGGCGTGTGGATGTGAGTCTTCTCTGAATGAACAGTCACACTCACACCCACACCCCACCTCTACCCACACTCTCACCCACACCCACACCCACCCACACCCACACCCACACCCACACCCCACACCCCACACCCACACCCCACACCCACACCCTCCAATATACGAGTGTTCACAGTCATTACACTTAATATAATATACCACATCCGACTGTATAAGTTTTGCAATTGGATCTTTGGTTTGGAAAAATGTTTGTATCGAAGGTGGTGGTTTGAAGAAGAATTGGATTTTGAGATCAGGTCTTAGTTTATTATTCAGGTGTTTAGTTTTGTTCTTTAAACCTAATGTTGATGATCTAATAAACGCTATCTCAACATATATTTTCTTTTTATTACTTTCAATTATTGGCTTATCTAATTCTGTAATCATTTTATTGCGATGTTGATTTAATTTAATGCCAATAATCGTATCAATAAAGGATAACGGATAATTATTATATAAGCCAAATCTTCTTATTTTATTAAATTCATCTTCCAAAAATTTATATGTTGAACATATATTGAGTGCACGATTAACAATACTAACAATACCGGCTTTCTTATTTTGAATGGGAACATAAGAGTTCCAATTTGTTAGTAATTCAGTAAATGTTGGCTTTCGATAAATTGTTGCCTCGAAGCATTGTTGTTCAGGTGATCGAATAACTTGTACATTGAGGAACTCCAATTTATCATTATCTTCAATCTTTCTTGTAAATTTAATTGATGGATGAAATCCATTAAGAATGGATAATAAGTTATCTACATTTGCATCTTTATTAATGAATACAAATGTATCATCTACATAACGATACCATTCACATACACCTAATTGCGTTAATTTATCCATCAATGTTATTTCCAAGTAAGTCATAAAAATATCAGCAATCACTGAAGCTAATGGAGCACCCATTGCAACACCATTATGTTGAATATACATTTTGTTACTAAAGGTAAAATGTGTTTTAGATGTTGCTTCATAGAGTAGAGTTCCAAAGTCAACATTCTGCTTACATTTACAACATTGTTCTGCTCTTGGTAGTTTCAGGCATGATTTTTTACATGTCGGATACATTTGATCAAGAACAAAATCAATTGTATAGGTAAGTGGAACATTGGTAAAGAGACTTACTACATCAAATGAAACTAATATCTTATCCACACTTCTTGATGATTTAATTGTATTTAAAAAATCAAATGAATCTTTAATAACATAAGCACTTGTTTAAAGATGTGATAATCGATTTCTGAGCATTTTTCCTAAACCATATCCAACTTCTTTAATTGGAGACATAACCGGACGTAATGGATAATTTTCTTTAGCCTTATGTAATTTTGGTACACCATAGAGACGTGCTAGTCTTGAGCCTATTGGCTTAGTCACATTATATTCTCCACTAGAAATGAAACCTTCTTTAAGTAATCTTGTTAACAAACGTATTACATGATCTTCATTCATCAAGTAATGCTGGTGTTCTTTTTTTAGGAATGATGGATGATGTTTAGTAGCATACATCTTATAGTAGGGTGTAATATAGGACCTGGGCATATCAACTTTTTCTGGAGACGTTAAATAAAAAGTTCAGAGTTGTTTTGTTATGAAACGAGTTTGCTTCGTACGATACTCGGGTAGGGTTCCTCAATTTGTCAGTCACTAGTTGAATAAATGGTTCTTTAGTTTTTTTGCACTGTCAGGATAAGGACTGAGTTGTTTTTGAGGTAAGAAAAGTTTTGCAAAAAGCCTTCCCCATACTCCGCGGGATAGCACTGCGCATCAAAGCAGCCTAGGCTGATCTCCCGCCCAGGTCGGTGGGTGCGTTACAGCCCGAACCGTAGCTAACTACGCCTCAGACCAGGCTGTAACGCGGACGGGGGTGGTCCTGGTGGACGATGCTTAACTACAGCATTCTTCACTTTACGCGGACCGGTTAAATGTCGACTTGAATGCGATTCAGGTCTAGGCTTCTTTATTCCGAAGAACAAATATTTGTTTTTCTCTAGTATCGAACTAGAGACCATGCTTCATGACGCCATTAGTCAACTCGACTAGATAGTACAGTAGCTATAATTATACAAACAGAAACGAAAGAAGTAATACATCTATATATGTAATGGTTCAGTGTTCGAATCTAATCCACGGAAAAACATGTAATCACATACACTAAATTATGTAATATGAACATGGCCCAGTGTTCGAATCTACTCGATGGAAAAAGAATATATACTTCGATATTGTGAATAATGTCATTGACAGGCACAGTAACCAGCTATCAACAAATCAACGATACACTATGAGTAAAAGACACTAGTAACAACAAGATAGACTTAATATTTTATTGTGAAACTCCCAGTCTTGAAACATTTGATTGCAGGACAGGCCCACAACAACTACATCTGATTGATTGAACTTCCCGACTGAAAAACCTTCATTGAATAAAAACGGAATAGCAAAAACATTCCACTGGCTGAACTCCCACCTTGGTAAAAACCTCATTGAACAAGAGCTGAAGAG